TGTGTGTGCGTGTGTGTTTGTGAGCGTGTTTGTGTGTGTGTGTGTGTGTGTGTGTGTGTGTTTGTGTGTGTGTGTGTGAGAGACAAAGATTAACTACCATCTTCAGGGTGGCTTACTTATTCATGAAGACCTCACATTTCACATCCATCTCAGAATATAGGACCCAGCCAGTTGGAAGGAACCGAGTTTCAGAATACCTCACGAAGATTCAATTTTACGCAACTGAACTGATGGTGCTCCTTAATATAAAAACCAGCGTTTGTTTTGTCATGGTCATTAAAGGTCGTGAGCTTGATTCCTAATCGGGGTAGTTAATTTAGAATCTGTATCTCGGGTCCTTCTGCTGTTATGCTATATCCCTCTCAACACCAGTTGTCCCAGCCTGTCTCCCATATGGTTTAAATTGTGTCGATTGGAGAGTAAAACTTTTGGAATCAAGCAGCTGAAACTATCATGGTTTGTTTGTTTTTGCTTTTGGTTGTTTAGTTTTGTTGTTGTTGTTGTTTTTGTTGTTGGTTCTTTTGTGGGGTGGGGGGTTGCTGATGATAAACGTGAGATGGGGTGCCTTAAGTTGTTTCAATAATCGCATCGCGCAGTCTGACCCTTATACCAGTTCTGTGGAAAATATATAATATACTATATTACTATATGATTTAAAAAATACTATATAATGAAAACTGCAACAGAAACGTCACGATCAGCATCATCCAACTTATGCTTATACACTAAATACCACACTGTGGGTGCATGTACAGGATTACTAGACAAAAAAGAAACGCAGAAACACGGCCTATATCAGCTCATTTTAGGACAGCGACACCCCCTGCCCCTGCATTTCAGTGTATTGTAACTTTTTTTTACTGTAAGCTTGTAGACTTCCTCCCCAGACTGTCTAGGCATCTCCACATTATGAGACTCGAAAAGTACTCACCCATCTTTTGAACCGTGTTTCATAGTGATTTTGATAAAAATGAACCAACTTTTTGACGTTTTAGGTGTATGGTGCAGCCTACTACCCTATTATTTTCTTTCACCCACTTTAGGCTTACATAAAAAAACGTGTCGGAACATTAGTTTGCACTGACTTTTATTGATGATATTTTAGTCATCCAAATCAAACAGAGCGATTTCTTTTTATCCGCGACCAGACGAAAGAAAACAAGCTGTAGATAGTGCAGTTAACATCTTATGAATTCTATTACCAGGAGCTGAAAAACTTCAACAAAATAAGAGCTTCGCTATCATTTGATTCTGATTGTCGGTGCCAATTTCATAGATGTTGTAGGTTCTTTGCCGATGATCACTTTGGGATTTGCTTCCCATTTTGGAAAATTTACCAATTCTAAAATGTTTGGTTCTTTTCTGCTGGGATATTGTATCCCCCTTAGCTGAGGGTTGCCTCTGGCAAGCAGAATTGAAACGGTCAATCTCCTAAAAATGTGTTGAAGGGGGCGTATAACATCTGTAATCAACTTTACTAGATACTTTTTCACTGATTTTGTTTTCTGGAGATTGCTGATTAAGTTTTACCTTTTTATTGAACGATTACACTGTACGCTTACGTATCCGTATCAGATAAGTTCGCGCCTTCTTTCCCATTCGATTGCTCATTGGTGTTTCTGTCGTCTTTCCCCAGTTCTGTGAAAGCTACCGACCAGCCGTAACAACATTGTCATCGTCAGTGTCTTCCCGTTAATGTGATTGAAAACACGTCAAATGGGCAAGGGACAAAACTACAGTTCCCGTGAATGAAGTTATGTTCTCGTCAAAGTCTCCTGGTGACTAAGTTGCAGCACTAGAGGTCTCAGTAACATGGGTTGTCAGAGGTAAGTAATTGTTGTAGTCACTGCTTCAGTTCTTTTGTTACCGTTCCAGTGGTTTCATGGTGTAAAGATGAACAGAGGGTTCAGATTAGTTTTTGCAAGAATTTTACGGCGCACACAAAAAGGTCATATTCGTGCCAAAGATTAGAGGCGTATACAGAAAAGAAGAGGAAGAGATATTGATTTAGACCTTTGATAGGGTAGAAGGACTACATCACACCAGTATACCCACAGGGGGTTTAGGTGTGTGCTTTCAGAAATAAACTTGCTATGAATCGACTAGGTGTCGTACAACTGTTAAAGCTTCGCGATCAACGTAAATGGTCGAGGGACTGGGCTTCTACTATTGCACGCAACTGATATGAGTTCAATTCCTCCTTGGGAAAGTGACGTTGTCTAGATGAGAATGTTTTTATGGGTAATAATCCAAACACCATGTCGTGTTGGCTC